ATCTATTGCTGGCCCTGGCATAAAACTGGTAGGAGTGGGATGGATTGAGGTTCCCCTCCTTCCTGATATTCCCTTTGACATTCTACATAATACACATTGCATCTAGGAGAGCCCACTATCTCCAAGATACATGCCATTGCTATTTGTCAAGGTGATACAGAGGGTCAAGGTCAGGCTAGGAAAAGTGTTTGGGGAATTATGTGGGGAATACCTCAGAAAACTTGAGCTCTGGTTGCTGATGTCCTGACAGTTCTAGAGGAGAGAGACCACAAATCAATCGTCTTGCAGATCAGTAACAGTAAATGTAAGTGTATAAAGGTTTCAAGGATCTTATCAACTACATGTTGAATGCAGATTACCAAAGTTCATGAAAATATCAGGATACTACAATAATGGATTCTACAGCAAAAAAAAAAAAAGCCTAGTGCTAGAGCAGTACAAGTGACAAGAAAAATATTTGCTATAGTTTAAGACTATTTTTATTTTCTTTTTGAATTTTGGGAACCAAAAAATTGGTTCAACAAAATCATGTAGTGTCAAACAACTCAAGATTAAACTATTCCATAGCCTTTTTATATCAACAAATAAAGTTCAGGAGAGTGAGATTCCTCAAATTTGTACATTTGGAAGGTGTCTACTTTCCTTGGTTTCAGTACGTGTCCTTACCCCTTAGAATAACAGTAAGCTAAATGGGAAAAAAAAAATTACCATTTTGTCACACCTATTATATATTACATACCCAGATGTTCTAGTTTCAGAATTGGTAGTTTGGATATCTAAATGGAGATTCCTACTGCTACCAAATCTGAAGTGCTTTCTGCGCCTTGCTGTAAAGCCCTGACAGAGATCTGGTGACTGTGTGTATGATGTTTGTCCTAATCACAGAAAGTACAAGGACTAATTTGCCAGGATCACACTGGAAGGCTCTGGCAGGGGTGGAAGTCAAAAGCCCCTCTCTCAAGTCCAAAGCATGCAGCCATCCTTTTGTTATTCTTTAATAAGTGAGATAGGAAAAAATATTCTGACTTTTTCCACTTACAGGCAACATCCCAGTGAGTTTCAAAAAGGTAGCAGCAAGGTACGGAGTCTATGTGCCATTCTTAATATCTATATTATTGCCGTGGAATTAATAATAGTGCCTGAAGGAAAGGAAGTCTTGGTTAGCGAAAACTTGAAAAACTGCTATCACTGAAGAAACAATTTTAAATATAACCAAATAATTTAAACCATTAAGTATTCTGAAAACCTCTTAGTTTATCTTTAATTAAATTACTCATCTTTCAGATCATTTGTGTTTGTGACATCACTGGCTGTGGTGTTTGTGTTTGTTTGCTTTGGTAGATTTCCTTTCGGAAAGGGAGAGAGGAAAGTTGGCAGTTAAATTTTAAAAAGCCTCAAAAGGTCCACTACAGGATGGACTTTGCTCTCCATTTACTGGAATGATCAGTGTGGTTCAAACTCTTAACAAGATAATACAGTTTTCTGAGAGGCCTGCTGAGATACCTGTTAAGAGGAGATTTGTATTAATGGAATTTTGTGATCATTTCGGCAGGTGTCAGTCTTGCAGTCACTTTAGATAGAATCAGAACAATTTGTATAACAGCACAGCTGTAAAAAGCACTATTTTGTGCCAAGTCCTACACACGATTTTAATTAATTTGAGCACTCTCTTGTTTTTATATGGTTCACATAGTGCTTGGGAGATACCAAAAATTAATATGATCACACACCAGATTCAGAGCATGCCTGACTATTTGTGTGTGTTAATTCTGCACAAGTCCTCTTTTATCTCTTTTCCAGGCCCACATGTTTATGCCAGTGGTATCTTGTGTAACTTCACTCTCCTCCGTTAACCACTCTGCCCTTACGAATCAGTGGTTGCCCAATTTACATGAGAGCCAGTTTGCATATAGGCCCATACGTAGAAGTATTTGAGTCATTGCTTTTAATAAGCCCAGACTTGTAGTACAGCTATGCTTCTAGGAAGCCCAAACTGGATTCAGTTCTTTCTACTGTGAGCCAGGGTGGACTTTAGTGCAACTATGCATCTTTCTTCACAGCTGGTATTAAGCTTCGATTTGCTGAGGATAATGAGAGAGAATAGTGGGTAAAAAAACCCTCCAGAACACCAGAACTGTCCTTGGTGCACCACTGAGGGACAACACTAAAATTGGGCGTGGAGTTCCCTATACTGATGTAATTCAGGTCTAAGGAACCCTAGATTTACCAGTGATATTGTGCTAGTAACTAACAGCCCCAAAAGTTTAAAATCAAAGATCAATACCTCAGTAAAAGCAGCAGCTCAGTCATATTTAGACAAAATTATGATCAAAATTCAGTAGTCAGAATGGATTTTATCAGACTTTCACCTTTGAAACCAACTTTTCAAGGAGCAAAATATGAGACAAGTAGGACAGCTTGTTTTCCTGAGCTGCAGCAGCCTAGCCAGGTGAAACTTAGTGGAAAGGTGCCAGCTGGAATGGGGAGTTCTCCCTAGCTTTTACTGAACTAAGGAGCTACAAAGGCAGAGATTGTTGGGGTGAGCAGCGGGGGATTCCCTACAGGATATTGTCCAGTGTGTTCTCACCATTGGACAGAGGTTAGCTCTGAGGATCACTCCAAAATAAAGTGCCCCAAAGGGCTATGGACATTGGTTGGAGACCAGTAGAAAGAGTTCAGAAATTATGGATCAATGACTGTTCCTTTACAAAAGTCAGGAGGAATTTTGGGGTGTATTGGGGGCATGTTACCTATATACTAATATGCAGATTTGCATGTGGAACTGTCAGCAGAGGCAAACTAGCTTTGGAGAAAATGTTATGTCAAGGGAAGTATTAAGAAAAAGCTTTATTATGGAGAGGAGAATAATAGAAAAAATAATTTTTAATTGTCCAGAAGATATGATGTATAATCACTGATGTTTTGTATGCGGATTCAAAGTTTTCACTTGCATTCTCATTTTTGAGTAAATGAAACTTCCTTTCTTTAATGCCAACATCTTTAACTATCACCTTTTTTTGTGTGTTCCTTCAATTTTTTATGACCTGTTACACTGCAAGAGTAATAGCAGATCTTGCACGTGGTCCTGATTGCCAAAGACAAATTAAGTTACTTAATGTCAGACAAATGTGTAATACTTCTACAGTTTTTAAAGTTTTCTAAGAGGGTGTTTCTGACAAGTTATGTTAATTATTTCTTTATAGCATAAAGACAACAAAAAATACCACATTATTGGTTGTACTGCCATAAAGCCATTTCAGGTCACTTGAGAAAGTAATAGAAATAAGGGTTTTGTTTTGTGCTAGAAAGTGTGATAGTGGCATATTAATAAAAAAACTAAATTTTTATTTCATACAAAAAATTATTTACTGATGCTGAAGCCAAGTTTTCCTATACCATCCAGTAAAAATTTACTAAAAGATAATTGGAACTGGGAAATCATTTTTATAAGTTAATGAACATTTTAGAATGAACATTTAGAATCCCATTTTTGTATGGGATTCTATCAAAGTAATTAATTGGGTGAATTAGATTTTACATCATTATAGATGACAGAGCTAACAGGCAAGTTGCATATGATGCGTTTAGCATCATTGTACTCATTTTTGTATTCCTTGTGAAGGGCAGTTATTTATATTGTATGTTAACTTCTGAAAACAGTTGGAGACAATTTTAAGTTCAAATATAAGTTTTTAACCAGTTACATTGAAAGTATTGTTTCCATTAAAAAGAAGGAAAGCATGTTGTCATTTTTATGGATGTTAATTAAAGAAGTTGTAATGATCCATCATAGTCAATTCTGAAAAAAAACATTCACAATACTATGTACATTGCATAAATGTTTGTGCTTTTTCATACAATTGATTTGTATGTAAATTACTGCAAGTTTTAATTCAGACAAATTTTCTCTTAACTGCTTAACACCACTGTTTTACTTTTTGTTTGTTTGTTTTTCAGGAACTGTAATTGGTGTTGTCATTTACACAGGCAAGGAAACTCGAAGTGTAATGAACACATCCAATCCAAAAAATAAGGTAAGTTAGCTTTACTGTGGGATTTCCTACTTTTGTTTTCATAAAACTTTAAAAACAGGTGTACCTAAAACGAAAAATCTACAAGCTTTTACTCTGATGTATTTCATGTGTGCTGGACTGACTTGAACTTTGGTGTGAGAAGTGAATTTTGCCTGTCTCATTTCAGAAGTAAAATTATTCTTCTTTTAGCTAGGAGTGTTACAGGTATTAATGGAAACATTTGTCTTCGAAGTACAAATGCGCATCTTCAGACTTTTGTACTTCTATCTCACAGCTAAATATTAATTCCCTCTTCACTTCTCTCAGATTATTTTACTGTAAAGTATTTGGCTAAAGCTACACAGTAGTTTTAAGGAACATTTGTAACAGACTACTAAAATTTATTTGGGCTGCCAGAGGAAGTAGAGCAAGATAACTGAGGTTCCAGTCAGTACCCAGAACCTTCTTCCAGGGATTTTTGTAAGCAATGAAAACATTGACAAGAGATTTGTCTGTTGAAAAGACACCAGAAGTTTGAGTGCTTCCCTCTGTACAAGGTTCTTTCAGTTCAAAACAAAGCAAATAGCTCTGCATCATATTGGTAATGCTTCTAATGTGAGTTGGGGAGGGCCCTCAATTATAAAGAAATGAAACTTCAGTTGTAGGCTGTACCTTACAACCTAGACCTGTGTTTAGTAAGAAGATAATTATATTAAGAAAGGAAAAAATTCTTGCAAGAGGTTTAGAAAAAATCAATTGTGACAGGTTGCCATTTTCACGCCATTTATAATAAGTTGCTCTGAGTAGGAACATCAAGAACGAAATGATAATACAAATTGCTTGAAGCAGTTATTGCAGTCCCTTGAGTGTATTGATTTGTGTTTCTAATAAAGAGATGCTTTTAAATGTCTCATTGACAGAGACAGGTGATATGTACCATTACGTGGATTAAGATGGCCTTTTATTATTTTAATCTTTGTAATATACGTTTTAAAATAATAGAGTAAAATGGAACCAGAATGTTTATGGTGCATAATTACTTTCTATTCCATCTGATACAAAGATGAGCCCTTTAGTAACAGAATCTTTCTCTAAGAATTCTGAACAACTTCTGACTAATAAATAATTCTCACAGGTGTTTAAAATGAAATTATTTAATACGGTAAATTGGTAGGGGAGTATGCATAAATGTAACATGCTTTACGCAAATTCAATAGATTCTGGAGGTGTATTAGATTTTTAGTAAATGTTTGTTAAAATTTTTTTTGCGTGAATATTTCACACAGAAAACTATGATAAAGGATAAGAGGATTTGTGTTTAAAATTTCCCTGATGTTTTCAAAATGACTATTAATATTAAAATAGTTGCTCCAAATTTTCATAAGCAGAAGATTAAGTAGCAGATAAACCTACAAAAAAGAGACCCAGCATGACAAGTTGCAGCATGGTTTTTACTATTATGACAATAGATGTACCACCTTTGCTTGCATAATACTTTAATGTTACAGCTGCTAACAATTAATGTTGTGTTCTTTCATCTACAGTGGGAACCTAAATAAACTTATAATTTTCATAAAGCACTAAAAAGTAAAATAATACATGTACACATGCACACGCATACACATACACAAACTAACAGAGCCAAATCCTAATAATATTATCTGGCATATATTGTACTATCAGTATATGAACACTATCTAAAATAATTAGTTTAGGAACAATACAGTGGAGGTTTAGACTGGACATTAGGAAGCATTTCTTTACTGAGAAGGGTGGTCAAACACTGGAACAAGCTTCCTGGAGAGGTGGTCGATGCCCCATGCCGGTCACTGTTTGAGGCATTTGGACAATGCCCTTAATAACATGCTTTAATTTTTGGTCAGCCCTGAATTGGTCAGGCAGTTGGATTAGGTGATCATTTTTTTCTGCTGAAATAGTCTAATTCTATTCTACTTTAATTAGAAATCATGCTTTTAAATAGCATTTTGTCTGCCACTGATAAAACGGGTGATGCTTGTATAACTAAACTGTACTCATTAGTTGTCCAAAGGCCTTTCAAGGAGTCATTGACCTATTAAGATGTTCAGTATTCTAAATACGTATATTCATTTATTCCTTGGAGGTGCTTAGTTCTTTGTACCGTAGTTAGCTGGTAAGAATCTACTAAATGTGAAGAATGAGGCTTAATAATAGTATACGTAAAATTACCTCCTTTAAATGTCTCTGCCTTGGTAGTTACTCTATAGAATATTTCAAAAATTTAAAAATCAATCTTATACTGAGCAGGTGAAGACTTTCTCTAGAGCCTATTTTATACATCAGCTGCATCAACTCTGCGTCAACTGTCTTTCAAATTATTCTGTAAATGTGTGAGTCTTGTACCAATTGCTCAACAATAATATTGGCATGGGGTTTTTCTCTCTATGGACTGAACATCTTTGTTTAAAGCAGTAGCCAACAAGTAACATGACCAGTAAGGGTGGATTTGGGAACTGAAAACAAAAAAACACTTAAGGCTATCACAGATGAGTAAGTGATAAAATGCAATACTTCAGTGTAAAAAACAGTTGTCAACATTTTTTTAACATGTAGTTTTAACTCTACCTTTCTGTGGAGTTAGCATCTTACTGTTTCTGTATCTTCTACCATGGGGTGAGATTGGTTTGCGTACTTCTGTAAGACAAGACACTTACTGCCTGTAGGTGATATTCTGTGCTAGTTAGCCTTGCAGCAGGTAGACAAGTAGTAGTGAGTTAATTCCTCCTCTGTGTATTTGGGAGGGGGAATCTTCCTGTGTTTTCTCAAGCTTGACAATAATGATTACATGTTGGATAGGATATGTAGCATTAGGAGCCAAAAGGAGGGCAAAGGGAGTCTAAAATAGTCTTTGAGATTAGAAGATACATTACAGTTGAGAGATTAAAGATTCGAACATTTTAAATAAATAAATATGCACCTAACTGTTGCTGAAACAAAATTGAAATAAAATTTATCAGTTGTGATATTGCTGCAAACTCGAGAGGAAATAAGCCTGCCCCCTCTTCTGCTTTAAAGAAGACTTGTTCCAAATACTGTTTGGAACTGGTTTTAAATGGCATACTGTCTCTCTCTGCTGCTCTTTGAAAACAAATAAAAATAATGTTCTAGCGATTTTCCTATAAAATGTGTTGACATGCTCTTGTTGGGAATATAGTTCAGTGATGCTTGTGTCTTCAGGCTTTGGGAGAAAGCAAACACTAAGATCTATGATTCTCATTTTACATTGCCAAACTGAAACTTCTATGTCCAGAAATAAGCAAGAAATACATGGGCTTGACTCTTCTATCATTCCTCTTTTCGTTGAAATACAGATAGATGCTTCAGTTGTATTTCTTGCTGGAGTATAACATTACTGCTGTACTTTGTACTATACACTGTGTTTTTCTAATGGTAAATTTTTAGTTTTCCTGCTTAAGGATAGATGCTTTTTGACTAAAACAATATTAAAATTTAGAGATGCAGACCTGCTATATAAACACTGAGCAGAAGACTAAAACTGAAGTAAGTTTAAGCAAACTTACACATGAAAAATTGTGAAATGTATGTACCTGTTCAAGCATGTGGTTTATCTGTATGTTAAACTTAGAAGGATTTATTGTGTTTGCTGAAATATTTAGTCATTCAAGCAACAATTTTCTTAACTTAAAGTCAACACTTTGTTGTTTTATTACAATTATAAAAATTGTTTCATTGCCTAAGGATGCAGACACGGTCTGAAAAACACAAATATAGAGAGAGTAGAATTTTCTTAATGGATGAATTCAATATGGTTTTAATTCCAAACAATATAAAGAAAAATTATTTCTGACAAGGTTTAATTTCAGTCTAAAATGATGTATGTTCTGTGCTTTAGATAAATGTAGAAATGGTAACATCAACATTATTATAGTGTAATGACTCTCTGCATTTTAGCTCATTGGCAGTCATATCAGTTTACTCAGGAATGCAGTTCCAGCCTTTAAAAAAAAAAAAATCAGATTGAATTGTGCTCCTCACAATGCTGTAATCAGTAATCAATCCTATTTGGACAGATATTCTTAAACCTTGGCTTTCTGGATGAAGTTGGACTTGTCAATGCTAAAGGTCATTTATAGGTGTTAATTAACCAAGAGGGAAATTAACAAACTACGGTTATTTATTTATTTTGTCTGGCATTTTGCAGTGTTCTCATTCTTACCTATTTAAAGTGCAGAATAGTTTTTTGTTATCTAAATTTAGAATTGCTTTTGCGGTTTTGGTCTTTATAGAAAGCAAGATTGTTAGCACAGCCCTTCTGCAAATGTGACCTGTTTCCATCAGTGGCAACAGATTTTGGGGGTGAAGTTAAAAAAACACAATATACTTGGAGGGAGATGGAAATAAATTTAAGGGAATGTATTTTGTGTACTAAGATTGAAACATTAAAATTACTTGGACTGTGCAATATATATACACACTCAGAATGTACACAGTAATGCATCAAAATGAGTAGACATTATCTTAAATAGAACTCCTGAGAACTCAGTAGCCTCTGTAAAGGAGCTACAGCATGTAATCTGCCTACTGTGCTTCAGATTAGTACAAAAATAGTTTTTGTATTGCTAATCCTTATAAGCAGCATTCAAAACACTTTCTTTTTTTTTGCCTTATGTTATGGAATTCTACATCTGCTGTTATGTTTTAACATCAGAAGTAAAACTTCATAGCAACCATTCAGTGTTCATCAAAATAGTAATATTGTTTTTTCCCTAATTCTTAGCTAGCCTGAAAGCTAAATACTACATGTCTTGTGGTTGGTGCTTTGCTGATTTTGTAAATGTTGTTTGTTTGTTTTCTTAAACAAATGAAAAATCTAAGAACTGGTATTGTTTTTCTTTTTTGCGTGTGTGTTGCCCTTGGTTATTTGAAAATGGCCTCACTGGTGAGCCTTGAAGTAATAAAAAAATATTTCTATTCTGGTAAATTGAGGCAAAATCACTTCATCTCTCTCCCTCTCGCCTCCC